AGATAAAAAATATTTCATCAGATAAAAAAAAGAACAAAAAAAAATAGAAGAGAATATGACAAAAAAAAGGATGATGAGAGAATTTGAAGGTGATATCGAAGGAAAGAGAGAGTGTCAGGAGAGAGAGAGAGAGAGAGTGGTGAAAGAGAGTCAGAAGGATATTCTGGTCATTATATTTGATTCAGTCACATCGTGTGTATTTCTCTAATTATGAGTCCTAAAAGGATATCTCAGCAAATAATCTCTAATTATTATGTAAGTTATTTATACCAAAATAAAATGAAGGTTCTGCTAAAAAAAATCTGGAAAATCTATATTTTGTAAAAAAATTGTTAATTATTAGTATTACTTATGAAACTCTTACTTGCATTAACTACAATAATTTTTTCAATCATTATCTTTTTCGATTTATTAACATTCTATTTCATCTAATTTTAATTATAAGTTTAACTATACAATATGTTATATATATAAACAATATGATTGGAAATTTTGTATAAGAGACTAGCCATGCGTAAGCGCTGCCTAAAGATCTAGTTATTATAATACTTACTTAAATTCATTTTTGTATAATTGTGAAAACTTCTATTTTTTATTGACGCTTATAATATTTTGTGTTAAATATTTACAATTTTATTGATATATAATATAGTAAAAATATTATTTTTATTTTTATTCTATTTTCAAATTTTAGGGTTATATTTTATATTTCTGAATATAAGCCCACTAACATCTTAGAACGTTAAATATATTAATTGTTGAACATTATAAGAGTGAATTAGTAGAAATTGTAAAAAAATATTTTAGACATGTTATGTTCTCACTTCTAATACATGTTTTAAATTTGAAATCATAATTTAGATATGTTATATAATATTTAAATTTAATTAAAAGTTTATTAAGTTTAAAGTCTATTTTATTTCTGTAAATAAAAACCTGTAATTTAGAAGATTTTGTGGATTTATATTTTAAAATTTTATAATATATATATATATATATATATTTTACTGCATAGTTAATAAGACATCTTCTGATATCTTTTTTTAAGATGATAATTTCGAAAAAATTGAAATGTTTAGCACGTAAAATAGTTTAGAAAAAATGGTATATGCCTCAGTTTATATGTTAACACCATTAGAATATATGGTATGTTTTAAACATGCGTTCAAATAAAACTATGTAAACCTATTACAAATACTAGGGCTTTTCTCCGCAATACGCGCATATAAGTGAATAAATAGTTTAGATTAAGATCATAATTTCCAATGCTATTTTGGATTAAGAACACTGTATTTTGAAAAAAAATATGAAAAACTTGGTGATTATTAATTGTTTGCAATTTTTTTTAAAATAAAAAATAGCTTAAATGATAATAAATAATGTAAAGAAAGAGATACTGTATTTTGAAGAAGAGAAGAGAAGTAGGGGTGATGTGGAACATATGAGAGAAATAGTCTGAAAATAATAAAGATTAGGTTAGTTAACTCAAATTGAAGAAGATATCAAGACATCTTATTTTAAATAAAAAAGATATATACCTGGCATAACTAGGTAGATACTATGTATAAGTCATTTTTTATGTGACTGTACCTTCTTTTGATTGATATGTTGGGTATTGTAAATCTATTGAATGAAATTATTTATGAGAAGACCATTTTAAAAAGTGAGAATGAAATTTTAACATTTGGCTAAACATACCTTTGTGGGGAGATAGGCCTTTGCATATTTCTTTGTAGACTATGTTGTTCATCGCGCAGATTGTATCTTTTAAATTTATTTTATATTTAGATTATTTGTCGGTTTTGTTTTCTTTTACTTTCCTTCTTGTTTTTCCAATGTTTGTTTTGCTTAATTTAACTTTATATGCTCTTTTTTTTTTGAGAATTTAACTTTACATGTTTATAATATTTCATTTTTGGGTTGTAGATGGAGAATTGTAATTTATTGAGGTTTTGTGTATGTGACAAACTTTTTTGGAATATTAAAATAATGTATATATAATACGATTAACACATTAAAGAAGAGAAAGATATTTAGGCACATTTACACATGTTTTATATGCATAATTTTAAACATTATATATGTATATATTATAAGTATGAAACATGTAAATGTTTTCTAAAGCTAAATACTTGTTCTGAGTTTACATAACTTATAGAAGTTTTAACTCTTTTAATTTAAATGCAAATCATAGAAAATATTAGTATAAAAAAAAATCAGTATAGATGAGTTGTTGGGCTTTTAAATCAACAATGAAAAATTACATGAAGGTCAGATAACAACAACTTTATGAAAAATTGGAGAAACTTTGCGAGACAAAGATTTTACATGAAGGTCTTATAACACTTCTTCGCCTTTACACACGTATTTTTTTACACTGCTATGGGAATAAGGAACTCTATTCATTTAGTTTCGGAATAGACCAACTTCATTCATCTACATTATATTTTATCTATCATTCATATCTTGCAATTTTAATGTATGTGCAGATTTCCTTGAGAAAAAGCACGCATAGAACCTATTACTTTTTCTAATGTAAAATATTATGCTCCTTGTTTGGTTAGTTCCACAAACTAATCTTTTTGGATCAGTTTACTAAAGTATGGATACTGCTGTGAGAAAATAGTATAAACCCTTCTTCTATCAACAACAAGTATTGACTTATTTATGCGAAGTTTCTATTCTAAATTATTTTAGAGGACGAAGAAAGCACCATTTCTGTTGACATAATTTCTACAACATATTATCTTAGATTCACCTCATCATACCCACCATTTTACCATTTCTGATTACATAAATTTACATGAGCTTCTTCATCCTCTCCGGTTATTTTCTTTTATTTATAACTACACTATAAAGTTATAAATTGTATATATTATGTAAATATAAATATTAAGTAAATATATAATATACTAAAATAATGATAATAATTAAATAAATAATATAAACGTGAAAATGGACACTTATTATCAAACATCTATCTTAAAATGTAAATTATAGATATTATGTAAAATAAAGTATAAGAATTGGAAATGCACAATATAAGGAAAAATAAATAATAAGTAAGTACAAAATTTAAAAATCTAAATATAATATTTAAAATTCACATTTAAATATTTAAATATATAATATACAAAATAATAATAAATAAATACCAATTTAAAAAATGGGAGAGGTACGTTAACCATTAAACATTTATTTTAAAGTGTATGACATAGATATTAAGTAAATAAAGTACAAAAAATGGAAATACATAGAATAAGAAAAAATAAAAAATAAGTAAGTACATAATTTAAAAATGTAAATATTACATTAAAAGTTCAACATATATCTTAAAATGTAAAAAAAAAAAATTACGAAATATAAAGTATAAGAAAAAAAAATACACAATTTAAGGAAAAATAAATAATAATTAAATATATAATTGTAAAAACTGAATATTACATTAAAAATTATATTAAATTTTTAAAATAAATAAATAAGTAATATAAAATATAAAAAGTTGAAATCCTATATTAAACAAAAAAAGAAAAACGTATAATTTTACATCAAACAATTCCCTATAAAATTCATTATTTCATCGACATCAACCTCACATCCATCAATGGAGACTTCAAAGAACTTCAGAAAAAAAACAATGGTTCCACCATCAACTTTTGCCGTCCCAAAAACGTTTAATGACTTCTAAGGAGATTTTTGTGATAATGTTATGTATAATATTTTTAAATGACTTCAAAATTATATTCTCCCAACATTATATAAAATATATTAAATGTTTTGTATAATATTTTTAATTAAATAACTTTATTTGGCTAATAGTAATGTTATGCTTAAATTTTAGTTTTTAAAAAGCTTCGAATATAGTTTAAAGACCATAATCGATGATGAATATAATTTCTTAAATTATATTACTATTTAAAACTTCATTTTTTTAAAAAAATATAGTGGGTCATAAATATCAATGATGGAGTTGGTGAATATAAGCATGAAGACGAAAATATAAATATTTAATTTTCAAGTAATAAATTCAGCTTTTTCCGTTATCAATATATAATATCTTACATTGTTTTTTAAATTATAGATAAATTATAAAAAAATAATCTTCCAAACTTAAAATATTATATTATATATGTAATTTTTTTAAATAAAAATATTTTAAGAATTTAAAAAAAAATTAAAACAATAAATGGTTATTTGCATATAATGATTAATATAGACATTATACTATCATTTGACATGTATTAGATACGTTTTGATATATCATTATTTTCTATTTTTTTGGAAAAATAATAAATGGTTAAGCATCAATATCGTTTAGGTTAAGCATACAAACAACACAAATTCAAAGATCACAAAAAATATTCACATAAACATTACAATACAGTAATTTAATCTCAATAACATACCATTCAAATTATAATGTTTTTTTTGAACACTCAAAATGCAATGTTCAAAAGAAAAGTTATATACTTAATATTTTTGAAATCCAAGATGTTCAGCGCGTAATGTGGATTAATTCCTAGTATTAATTGAAAGTTTAAGTTTAAATGTTTGGGAGGAAATGAGAGAGAAAATAAAATATAAATTATTTGTGTGTACAAAAATGATATAATAAGAAATCGATGTTGATTTATAGTGCACTTAGAGCTTGGTTTGGTTGTTAATGATGGTTTGTGTGTTGTTGACATTGACAATTTTATGAAAAGTGCTGATGAAGATGGTTAATTAAGTAAAAATACTCTATTTTTTTTTAAATTACACTTTTCGTAAATAATTTGAAATTTTAGGGTGAATAGGTCATACCAGTTTCTTGTTTTTCCAAAAGATTTAGTTTTGTGTTTGATAATAATTTTTATGTTATGTATGAAAGAAGTCCACCTTATTATGTATTACTATGTTACATATTTGGATTGTCGATAGTGTAAATCTTGCAGCTAACAAAACAATATCGTACGTCAAAACATCTCAAACTGTGTATCTAACCAACAGACACCCAGTGATTATGCTTTCCATTTCGTTGATCTTTTCGCAATATCAATTTGTTGCTCCCCAAATTCTGTCATAGTAAGAGACATAGATGCATCTACCATCTGCACAAAGGAAATAAGAAATGTCAGTGTAAAGAACCAATCGGAGTAGCTGAAAATTGATATCACCCATCCAAAGTTGATCACACCATTACCTTTAGCTTTTCTTTAGCAAAAGTTAATTCCTGCTCCAACATTTTCATACGCTCTTTTTGCAAGGAACATGTTTCCTACACAATAAAATTGGTATATTTAGACAACTGTATATAAAATGAGGAGTCAAAAGTTGTACTTTGAACTACCTCCAACGATCCTGATTTTCCAATCAAAATGTCCAATTCACGAGATGACTTTCCAACACTCTCTTTGTACTTGAGTATCCCATCAGCCAGCTTCTGTGACTGTGCAACATGGCGATCACGATCATCTCCGACTTGTTGGAGCTCACTCCGAAGGTTCTTGACTTCAGTCAGCAATGACTCCTTTTTTTAACTGCTTCATCTTGAGTAACTTTATCACAGAGGGAAAGAGAAACAAACTAAGAAACAATTATTTCACTAACAATTTAAGGCATGCAGTAGATGAAGGATATTTACTTGGCTCGATGCTAGTTGATCTTGTAGTGATTTACTGTGACTCCTTAGAGTAGTAAGGTTCTCCAGTATACTTGACTTTTCTTTTTCAGCACGAGTTTGTGCCTCTCGAACTGCTTCAAGACCAGTCTGGAGCTTGGAGTTATATTGTTGCGAACCTGTGCTGTACTCTTGAAGCCTTGTGTTAATATCTTTCATGGGCATCTCCTAGACATCAGAAGAATCCATTTAGCACAACAGCTCAAATACTATGCAAAGAGCTAATAGGAGTTACACAGAATGAAACAAATCTGTTGTACTGTTGGAGAGGGGATTGAACACCCCTCCACAAGGCCCATCGAATAATAGGCTCCAGCCTATTTACGATCGGTCTGATTAGAGCTCGACTGAAAGAAGAGATCAAACCGAAAATCGAGCGACCGGTTTACTCATTTTAAATGCCCAACAAGTTCGAAAGCCCATCGATCTTGGGCCTTTCGAGCTAACTATAGGGCGAACAAAGACGAGAACAGACTCAGTAGTATAAAAGGACGACATAGGTCAAAGAGAAAGAGGATCCGAAAATAGACACAAGAATACTGACGGCAAGATCTTGGGTTTAACGACTGATCGATCTCCCTTGTATTCTCGTCGGAGCTTCTTTAAGAACTCCGACCTTTCTGTTTTCTCAGAATCTCCTTGTAATCACTTTGGTTATCACATACTGATTAATAAAACATCTTCTTAAGTCCCACAAATCGAGTTTAGTTTCCCTTGTTTATCGATCGAACAAACTCAGATTCAACATTTGGCGCCCACCGTGGGGCCTTACGAAGTAGCGTTAACGAAATCAGTATGCCTCCCGACGACTCTCAAACCGACGACGCACCGGCACAGAGACCGGTCGCCGCGATTCCGGCAGCCGACGATATGATGCAGCGCATCATGAACCACCTCCAACGGCAAGAGGAAACCAACAGAGTCATGAACGAGCGATTAACCGCACTTGCTGCTGCTCTCGCCGTGACGGACGGTGATGCTGGAGAAACGGAAACGGCGAGACGTCGACTTCTCTTCACCTCAACGAATCCAACGCCTGCCAGAGCCGGTCCTGCGATTGGTGGCGCAGCTAATGAAACTAACCTCGCCGGTCAAACGAACGACGGACCGGATGCAACCACCAAGTCCCAGATTGACGAGTTGAGAAAATCGATGAAAGATATTCACTCTAAGATACACCATGTCACAACCTCCGCCCCAGAGATCGAACGTGTCCTCGCTACCACGCTAAAGAACCCGTTCACGAAGCGGATTACGGATACCAAAATCAAGAAAATTAACAAGCTCCGTCTCCCGACGTACGCCGGCGAAACAGATCCGACGGACCACGTGACAGCGTTCAATATAGCGATGGGGAGGACGAAGTTCTCTGACGAAGAGAAAGACGCGGGCTTTTGCCATCTTTTCGTCGAAAGCCTCTCCGGACCGGCGCTAACCTGGTTCTCGCGACTGACCGAAGGGTCGATTGACAACTTCCACGACCTGTCGGCGCCGTTTTTGAAACACTACATTATGTTCACTCGCCAAGAAATGACCTCGGCAGACTTGTGGAAGATGTCGCAATCGGCCTCCGAAAGCCTCAAGGATTTCATGGAAAAGTTCAAGAAGGTGGTGACACAGATCGAGATCCCCGGCCAAACAGCCGTCGAAGCTCTACGAAATGTGTATGGATACACTCCAAATTTAGAGACGATCTCTACTCCAATCCCACGATCTCCCTCCAAGACGCCCTACATCGCTCCCAAAACTTTATCCGGCTAGAAGAGGATAAGCGATCGTTCATCAAAAAACAAAACGAGCTAAAGCAAGCGGCCTTGAAGGCAGCCGAAGGTCACCCCGAACCAAGGCAGCATGCATCCTACAGCAAACCGGATAAAAAGAAAGGCCTCGTCAACACCATCCCAGATGAAAAACAGCCGGACCCGGCGTTAGCCGTCCGAGGACAGCGGAGCAACAAATGGACATTGGAAGTTGACGGAAAGAAGCAGGCCGCCCGAACGAATCCGGCCAATAATGCGTACGACGCAGCCAAGTGGTGCGGATACCACAAAGCGTATGTACATGAGACAAAGGAATGCAATCATCTCAAAAACTTCCTCATGACGAGTTTCGTCGAGAAGCACGCTCATCCCGAACCCCCGAAGCAACAGCCCGAGGCGAATACAAAAGGCACAGGAAAGAGCAAAGACAGGAAGGGTAACGACCGCAGCAATTCGGCCGATCGATCTCCCCCAAAGGAAGATATCACCCCTTCGAACGAAGATGAGTCTGGATCTGACGAAGAGAAACCCACATCCCGCCGAAAGATCTTTACAATCAGGACGACTCCCGCGCTCTCCCTGACCGACGATACATCAGCGAGGGAAGGACAATCTGATTCATCTACCTCGGAGAACACGCAGGAAGACGACCTGCGGTTACAACACGATCTGCGTGACTCTCTCAAACGGAAGAACGCGAAAATGAACGTTGAACCTTATCCTGAGAACCTGCAGCGGACGATCGCAACTTCGAAAATCAGAAAACTGAATACGCTAGACGTTCGCCATCGCCTGGACGCTAAGAAACGCGACCTTCGATCAATAATCAACTCACATGTTGACGACTTGCGCAACAAGCTCAATCGATCGGCCGGCGCCAAGAGCAACGAAACAACGGAGGATCTACGTGCGCAATTGAACGATGCCAGATTGAAATGCTCAAACGCGCCCAAGCGGTTAAACGTGATCTTGGGAGGATCACCTCCCCATATCGACTCAGTCCGTTCAGTTAAGCACTTCCGCAGGAGAGCAGTCACTGCACAGAACCGATGCACCATCTGGGAGAACGTCCCTCAGATCACCTTCTTCGCTGAAGACGCCAAAGGAGTTCACATGCCCCATAATGATTCCCTTCTCATCGAGCTCGGGATTGGTGATTGCGAAGTAACTAAAGTCCTCGCCGATACCGGGAGTTCGGTCGACCTCATCTTCAAAGAAACTCTTGAGAAGATGGGGATTGATCTCCGCACAATCAAGCCTTCCGCGCGATCCTTAACAGGATTCAATGGATCATCAGAAACGATGCTCGGCACCATACGACTGCTGGTGCACGCTCATGGCGTAAACAAGAACGTCAAGTTCTCGATAATCGACGTAAAAACTCCATACAACGTGATTCTCGGAACACCGTGGATCCACTCGAAGAAGGCAGTTCCGTCAACCTATCACCAATGCGTCAAGTTCCCCGCGACCTCCTCGTTGCGGAAATAAAGCTTCGCCGATCGCCCTGCCACGTGAATGCCATCACTAGACCAGTTCAAAAAATCGCTCCCTTTAAAGAAGAGATTCTGGAGGTACCCATCGATGGAAACGACCCGAGCAAAAACCGTCCGGATAGGCGCTCAACTGCTGACCGATACGAAAGACATGATCATTTCTTTCTTAAAGGAAAATGCATCAACTTTCGCTTGGACGACCGCCGATATGAAAGGGATAAGCCCTTCCATTACGACTCACGAGCTGAACGTCGACCCAACAATCAAACCAGTTTGACAGAAAATAAGAAAATTGGGACCCGAGCGTTCAAAAGCAGTGAACGAAGAGGTCGACCGATTACTCAGCGCAGGGTCGATCGAAGAAGTCAAGTACCCCGAGTGGTTAGCGAACCCCGTCGTGGTGAAGAAGAAGAACGGGAAATGGCTTGTGTGCGTCGATTTTACCGATCTAAACAAAGCTTGTCCAAGGGATAGCTTCCCACTCCCGCATCTCGATCGCCTAGTCGAGTCAACGGCCGGAAATGAATTCACGATCGGGGAAAAACGGCATTCATCAAGGACGTAGGAACATATTGCTACAAAGTCATGCCCTTCGGACTCAAGAACGCCGGCGCAACCTATCAGCGCCTGGTCAACAGAATGTTTGCCGACCGACTGGAAAATACAATGGAAGTCTACATTGATGACATGATGGTGAAATCCCGCCAAGCGATCGATCACCTCAGTCATCTAGTCGATTATTTTCGCACGCTCAATGAATATGGCATGAAGCTCAATCCGGCTAAGTGCACATTCAGAGTTACATCCGGAGAATTTCTCGGCTACATCGTAACGCAAAGGGGGATCGAGGCTAACCCGAAGCAAATCTCCGCGATCCTAGATCTCCCGAGCCCTAAAAACAGCCGGGAAGTGCAACGGGTAACAGGACAAGTGGCAGCGCTCAACCGATTTATCTCACGATCGACCGACAAGTGCCTACCCTTTTACAATCTGTTGCATGGCAACAAGAGATTCGTCTGGGACGATAAGTGCGAAGAGGCTTTCAACCAACTGAAACACTACCTCACCACGCCGCCCGTACTAGCGAAACCAGAAAAAGGGGACACACTTTACCTCTACATCGCTGTCTCTTCGATAGCCATCAGCAGCGTCCTTATCAAAGAAGATCGCGGCGAACAACAGCCGATATTCTACACGAGCAAAAGGATGAGTGACACCGAAACACGATATTCAACCCTCGAAAAGATGGCCCTCGTAGTCATTACTTCAGCAAGAAAGCTCAGGCCTTATTTTCAATCTCATTCGATCATCGTTTTGACCAATCACCCTTTGCGCACGATAATGCAGAATACAAACCAGTCAGGCCGATTATCCAAGTGGGCAATCGAACTCAGCGAACACGACATTACATACCAAGGCAAGCCGGCCGAAAAATCTCAAGTCCTGGCTGACTTTATAATCGAGCTCCCTCCAGAGCTCGAGCAAGACATCATTCTGCCAACAGGTATCTGGATACTGCACGTCGACGGATCGTCCTCCACAAAGGGCTCTGGCATTGGCATCCAATTACAATCACCAATGGGCGAATTGATACGCTAATCCTTCCGGCTAGATTTCAAAGCGTCTAATAATGAGGCGGAGTATGAATCACTCATTGTCGGACTGCGTCTCGCCAAGGCCGTTGGGGCAAAGCGAGTTCACGCGTACTCTGATTCTCAGCTAGTCGCCAATCAATTCAGCGGAGACTACGACGCAAAAAATGAACGAATGGACGCTTATCTCCGAGTAGTTCAGGATCTCGCCAAGCAATTTGACTCCTTCGAACTAACGAAAATCCCACGCGGAGAAAACGTCTGTGCTGACGCCCTAGCAGCACTCGGTAGTAGCCCCCGCGACCAGATAAGTCGTACTATACCCATCCAGCATATCGATCGGCCGAGTATTCCCTCCCCTTCAGAGGACACCGAAATTATCGCATCGGTCTCCGAGGATATGGCGATTGACGAGGCAAATGTACAACCGCCCGATTGGAGAATTCCTTTCCTCGACTATCTGAGCAATGGAACGCTACCGACAGATAAGTGGGAAGCACGCCGATTGAAAGCCAAGTGTTCGAACTACGTTGTCATGGACGGAAAGCTCTACCGCCGGACAGCCAACAACGTCCTTCTAACATGCATCAACGGTGAGGAGACTCGTCTAGTCATGGCTGAAACCCACGAAGGGGGAGCCGGCAATCACTCTGGTGGACGAAGTCTAGTTCTCAAAATCAAAGGTCTAGGACATTACTGGCCAACAATGATCTCCGACTATGAAGCCTACGCTCGAAAGTGCGATAAGTGTCAACGGCACGCCTGGGACATACATTCACCCACCGAGCTACTGCGAACAACCACAGCACCTTACCCTTTCATGCGGTGGGGGATGGATATCGTCGGATCTCTACCCAATTCCAGGCAACGAAGATTCATCCTCGTCATGACAGATTATTTCACCAAGTGGGTGGAGGCGAAAGCTTTCGTTCAAGTAACAGATAAAGAAGTGCAGAATTTCGTCTCGAAGAACATCATCTGCCGGCACGGGCTCCCATACGAAATAATCACGGAAAACGGTTCGCAGTTCATCTCACACAACTTCCGAGGTTTCTGCGATAGATGGGCGATTCCCCTCAGCACATCGACCCCCCCCCCCCCCGTTACCCACAGGGTAATGGACAGGCAGAAGCAACGAACAAGACGATCATCGATGGGATCAAGAAACGCCTTGATCTCAAAAAAGGACATTGGGCAGACGAGCTCGATGGAGTCCTTTGGTCCCACCGAACGACTCCGCGAAGTGCGACGGGTCAAACGCCCTTCTCATTAGCCTATGGAGTTGAAGCAATGGCACCGGCGGAAGTCAACGTCACTAGTCTGTGTCGAGCAAAAATGCCCCAAAACGCCGACCTCAACAAAGATATGATGCTCGACGCCCTCGACGCGATCGAAGAACGACGAGATCAGGCCCTCCTACGCATTCAGAATTATCAACATCTCGCTGAAACCTATTACAACAAGAAAGTGCGAGCACGACCATTGGAGCTCAACGATTTCGTCCTAAGGAAAGTGTTCGAAAACACTAAGGAATGGAAAGCTGGAATACTTGGGGCCAACTGGGAGGGGCTGTACAAGATAATAGAAGTCGTTAAACCCGGGGTCTATCAATTGGAAACATCCTCCAGAGAGCGATTGCCGCGGTCTTGGAATGCCTCGAATCTCCGTAAATATTATTCCTAAGTTCAAACTGGCGATTGAACGCCTAAAAAAAAAAAAAAAAGGAGGCCGAGCGATCGATATCACATTTGTCCCTTCCCCGCAAAGGCAAATGTTCTGTCGCGCGCAAAAAAAAAAAAGGCCGAGCGACCGATATCACATTTGCTCCTTCTCCGGAAAGGCAAATGATCTATCACTCGGCCAAATCGAACTACGAATGGCTTGATCCCTCTCTTTGGGTACGTAGGCAGCCTCTCACGAGGTTCAGCTATAATCCAAACCAAAAACAAAACCTCGATTGGCAGCAACGAGATTTTTGGCGATCATGTTAGGTGAATGACTCCACGTCATCTCAACTCGACTGCAATGGTCGCGAGTATAACGCTCAAGCCCGTCAGCAAGCATTTCTATCATAGCTCGGTTCGCCACCTTGTCAATCACTCCCACGCTCAAGAAAACGGCTCCAACAAACCTCCTACAAAGGTCGACCGATCGACTCATGCCGATCAGTCACTACTCCGATCTGATAATCCCCGCAAAACTGACAGAACAAAAACCCATCACACCTAAGGCCGACCGATCGATTGTCGTTAGCACAAGACGTAACTAACTCGACGCGCAACGTCGTTGCGTGTTCGGATAAACAATGGTCGTCGACACAAACACAGCCGACTTGACCACGAGAGAGTTTCGGCAAAACTCGGCCATCACACAAAGAGGCCGGCCGACCGATTCTCTGACAAGTATTCATAAGGCTGGCCGAGTAATCGTCATTGCCACGAACGTAGCTGGCCTGACGCGTAACTTTGAAGCACGTTTGGATGACCGACCGTCATAAGCACAAACGTAGCAGGCTCAACCGCGAAAGAGTTTCAGCAATGCTCAGCCAACATATTAAGGAGGCCGACCGATCGATCCTCCAGCGGATATATATAAAAAAAACATAAGTAGAAACTTAGGATTTGCTTATGCATACAAAGATCAGAGTCCAAAAGATCACAGCAAAAAGAGCACAAGACCGAGCCAAATCCAGAAAGTACAACATACAAAGGTGCGGAAGAAAACTACGTAAAGAAAAGATAAAAGTAAAGCAACAACAACAACAAACGAGTCAAGCACCAGAGTTGTTCGGAGCGCCAACCGACTGCTGGGCGGAAGCCTCCGTCGGACCATCCTCCACCTCCGCAGGAACATCCTCTCCAGTACCAGCCGCGGTAACCAACGCCACGCTTGAACCCCCCCCCCCCCCCCGGCGGTAACGGCACTCCCAACGCCGACTGACGGGCACAATATGCAGTAACCAAGCGAGGGATAAGAAACCATAACTTCGAATCCCTTTCAAAGAAAGACTCATAATCGCAATGGAAGCCTACGGGTGGAGTCCACGGACGTTGGTCAGAGCGAGGGACGACGAACGTAACGCCGTACGCCCCCTCAACAGCGTAGCAACGCTCTTCTTGGTAGACCATGTAGGCAAAACATTAGCCCAATTCTGCCCCTTTATCTTGGACTGTCGAATCTGACTCAACGGGATATCCGGCAACTGTCCAATCACCCCGTTCATGCGGTAATAGTAAGGAATCGATCGTCGACTCGCCGCAGACCCTGCCGAAGATCGTTCGGCCTCTCCGCGCCCGACTTCGCGCTGATGTGCCTCACCCTCTGCCGCGGGATCACCTACGACGACCGGAGACCGATTCACATCGCTCCCCACCGCACTACCACTTCCTTGACCGGCCTCCTCCGCGCCAATTGAAGACCGTTCGATCTCGCTTGCCTCTGGCAAATTTTCCTCCAAATCCTCCAACCCATTCAACCATCAACCGAACATCGCCTACTCCCATCATCTTGCGAATAGCCGCCGGCATCATCGATTCGACCAAGGCCCGAAGACTGTTCGATCTCGCTCACCTTCTCCAACTCCTCCAACTCATCCATCTCAACATCATCGCTCGAACACTGCCCGCCTCCATCTTCCCGGGAGGAACCACCGACGCCATCGGATCGACCGAGATCCAGATGAGCTTCGTCAGTCGAAGCGCCACGGTGAGCGTCGGTCGCGGAGCTTCGGAGCACGAGATCGGATGGCAGCTCCCCCGACGGGCTCGGAGTCTACCGAACTCCCTTGTCCTTCTCAGTCGACGTGAATCTCCCTTTAGAGTTGCTCATCGATCGAACAACCCGATAGATCTAAAAATCGGTTACCGGCGGCAATAAATTTCCGGCGGCAGCGAAGCAACAATCTCCGGCGGCGAGCGAAATGTTTTCCGGCGGCGAGAGACTAAGCTTCACTCTCAACAAAAAAAAATATAAAAGGAGAGAAAAGAGAGAAGAGAGAGATAGAAGAATACCTTGAAGTGGAGAAGAATAAAAAGATGGGAGAAGGATACTGTATTTATAATGGAACTCACGGAGATCGAGGTCAGAGAGTTAAACCTAATGGGCCTAAATGTCCATTAGTTTCCACCGAAATAAACACTCCTTCGTCAGGAAATACAACGAGACAAAGCCGATCGGAATCAAACGCACGGAGTTATATATATATGCATCCGGTCGATCGAGTGCAAATTTTAAAAAAAAAAAATATATGGAACGGCCGTTCAAGCGGAGACGGGAGCAACTCGAGCCTATCATCCTCAGAGCCAATTCTTCATATTCCCCTTCCAAAACGATATTTTTACAAGCGGACTGGGGGGACTTACTGTTGGAGAGGGGATTGAACACCTCTCCACAAGATCCATCGAATAATAGGCTCCAGCCCATTTACGATCGGTCTGATTAGAGCTCGACTGAAAGAAGAGATCAAACCGAAAATCGAGCGACCGGTTTACTCATTTTAAAAGCCCAACAAGTTCGAAACCCCATCGATCTTGGGCCTTTCGAGCTAACTTTAGGGCGAACGAAGACGAGAACGAACTCAGTAGTATAAAAGGACGACATAGGTCAAAGAGAAAGGGGATCCGAAAATAGACACAAGAATACTGACGGCAAGATCTAGGGTTTAACGACTGATCGATCTCCCTTGTATTCTCGTCGGAGCTTCTTTAAGAACTCCGACCTTTCCGTTTTCTCAGAACCTCCTTGTAATCACTTTCGTTATCACATACTGATTAATAAAGCATCTTCTTAAGTCCCACAAATCGGGTTTAGTTTCCCTTGTTTATCGATCGAACAAACTCAGATTCAACATGTACCTTATGCTTGCCAGCCATTATCTCTTCTTTCGCTTTGTCAAGCTCTCCTCTGAGAGAATCTCCAAGCTTCTCAGCTGCAGCTCTGCATTCCTTTTCTCTTTTGTGGTTCTCAATTGCATCCTAGTGGTCATAACCAAACATGATAAGATATTCTTTGGGAGATAAGCTGCTCCAATGATAAGATTATTAAAGCGATAAATCCTTACCAGCTTACTCAACTCTTCCTTTGAGAACTTCTCCTGTAGTGACACTATCTTCTCCTTCATCTCCGCTATGGTTGCTTGTAGCTCTTCTTATATGGTCTTTGCATCCAACTCTACAAGTAATTAAGAACGACATCAGCATTCAGCGACACAAAAATGATGTACAGACAAAGGTAACGCAGGAAATTTAAGTCACCTTTATCACTAAATATTTTCTCTGCAGATTCCAGAGAAGACCGAAGAGTCTCCTTCTCCTGGAGATGGGTTTCGTCCACTTGTTGGAACCATTTAACACAGACCCTAAGTCTTCTGATAATATCAGTCATCTGCTCGATCTTACCCTGCATATACCCCCAAAGGAACATTATTTTCAGTGAAAAACGGCAAAAGATTTATCTCCCAGAATGAACATTAACAAACCAACCTTAGTATCAAACTTCCCAGCTTTAGCTCTCTCGCAAAGCCAAGACTTCATCTTTAGTAAACTCAACTTTACTACACTCCTCTACGCTTCCCACATCGCTGTTGGCAGTAAAATCTTGTCTGTTCAATGTGGAAGGATCCTGTCTTCTTGCAGTACCTTGCATCTCCACTTTTCTTCGTCTATCAATAGGTATACTCAAGAGAGGTTCCCTTCTCTGCAAAATGGTTCAAAAAACAAATCAATTGTAAGAACCCATGAAACAATCACTGTGGAATTTCAGGAAGTCGTTGACTTGATTTTGCCATAAAGCTAAACCCTAAGAAACACAGTTTCATCTTAGTTTAAAGGCATACACAAACTGTAAATTACAGAGTTCCATACTTGAAAATTTTAATAACAATCTGAGAATCGATAAGTTTGTTAGAGAAAAAGCTGAAGCATATACATCTAAACTTGAAAAAGGAACAAAACATGTAAAGTTCAAAACGAAGGTCCTGATGTTTACTTAACCATGTGGCAGGAGTTGGGATCATTGAATTATCCCCAGCCTCTTTGCCATCTACTCAGCTTCAAAGCTGCATCAAAAATAAGTCCATCAAAGACTGTAGCTGCAGAAAATCAAAATCCAAATCTAAGTCGAAATCAAAGATATTGATTATAAGATATAGCAAACCTGGAAACATTTTTACAATATGGATTGTCAAAAAAGAAACTAAAGTTTTAGAAATGTTTGGATTTTGAGAAACAAATCTTTCACACTGATTAGATCACCTATTTGGATTTGTGTTTTTAATATGTACCATGAAGAGAACGCTGTCGACAACAACTCGTCAGAAAAGCCTTTGAGCGACAAGTACTTGTCATGCGCTCTCTCCTAGCTCGTACCCTCTTCTTCGATTCAGATCTGGTGGAGGCTCAGCCTCTCCGGCGTCACAGTCGGTAGGTCTTGAGTTCTCCCACCCTTTTTTTCTTCTTACGTCCGCATCAGATCTAACTTGACGGTTGAGTTTCAGTTTCGGAAATCCGGGAGGCACCTCTTCTCTCCTCGCGACGTATCGGCTTGGTTGCTTGGTGCGGCGACTGCTGGGTTTTGGCGCCTCGTTAGAAGCCATGGTTCCTGAGCTCCATTTGAGGACGGCGGTGGAGAAAATTTCAGAACATAAAAAAAATTTATAAATTTTTTTATCAAAATACCAAAATTAAATAAATTTCTGAAAATTAAACAAAACATTAAAGAAAACTCACAAAATTAAACTTTTTAAAAAAATTTGTTTGATTTTTATTTATTTTTGACTATTTATTAAATATTTATTGCTAGGAAAAAAACCTGATAAATTACTTATTTTATTTAGTAGTTTATTTCAGAGAAATAAATATTTAATAAAATATAAATATAATAAATAATCAAATAAATAAATAAAAATAAATTTAATTTTCAAAAAAATTTAAAGATAATTTCAGAAAATAAAGCAAAATTTACGAAATAAATAAATTAAAATACAAAAAAATTAAATAAAATTCAAAGAATTAAAAAAAAATTCAAGAAGATTCACAAAATTGAAAACTCAAAAGTTCAAAATATTTTTTTGAAAATTACAAGATTACGTTTTTAACTATTTGAAACCATCAACTTCAACAATGTTATGTTTGAATTTTTTTTTTGTCAACGATGATATGCCAATTTTATTGGAAAATTTCATAAAATTAAAAGATTTGTTTTTCAAAAATGTGAAATATTATAGTCGAGAATAAATGTTTCTTTATGTTCTGAAATTTTCTTTATTTTTTTTTAAAATGTAATTTAGTTTTTGATTTTGATTTATTTCTTTGTTGAATTTTGTTTAATTTTTAGAATTTTATTTAATTTTTGGTATTTGAAATTATTTTTAATAAATTTTTCTTTATGTTCTGAATTTTTTTTTTGAAAATTGAATTGATTTTTATTATTTTTGGATTTTTATTATTAAATACTTATTTTTCGAAAAAATTGATAAATGACTTGTTTTACCTGTTCAGCATGTCAGATTTTCAAGTTCAAGATTTTATGTGAAAATGTCACTTTGAAGATTTATAGTACTAATAAGTGTCAATCTGAAGGTTTTTTATGCGATTTTTCCAATTTAAAACCGATAATAACCGACCTGAAATTGAACATAAACACTTGAAATTGGTTCTTGCTCGAGTACAAAACTGTTCGCCCGACAGATCCGAAACCGACTTGAACTGAACCGACCCCGAGACCTGAATAGTTGAATTAAAACGGTATCGTTTTGTCCCGAGTGCAGAAAATATCCTTTCTCTTTTGTCCCCAAAATCACACCTCTTCGTCACACTTTCTTAGGGTTTCGTATTTGGCTCTTCCTCGAGGAATCGATCTTTGCGCAGTTACAGGTTTGGCTATCTCTGGATTCATTGGGCTTTTCGGTTCTTTAGATTTTCTGTATCAAACTTTTGAGATTCGTCGAATTCAAATCTCCTAGGTAACTTGTTGGTCTTTTAGATTGAAAATTAGCAATTATTGAGATTTCTTCTGGGTACTTTTCTCAATCATAACGAACATTAATGGAGGTATCATGATTAAGTATTGATTTTTCTTCTTTTTTTTGTTTTTTTGTTTTTGTGATTCTCTCTGTTTTGTAAAGCAATGGGAAAGAGAAAGTCAAGGGCAAAGCCTGCTACCACTAAGCGTATGGACAAGCTTGACACTGTCTTTAGTTGTCCTTTCTGCAATCACGGCTCTAGTGTCGAATGCCAAATGTAACTTTTTTTTCTTACAACCCAACTCTTTTGAATTCTTGTTTTTAACACTCCTCTGTTTTTTTTGTCAGTAATATGAAGGAGATGATTGGTATTGCAACTTGTAGAATCTGTGAAGAAAGCTTTAGCACCACCATCACTGGTTTCTTTTTCATGTTCTCAATCTTTCAAGACATTTTCTTACTTTATGTCTCTGATCATTCTGTTGGGTTCTGTTTCTTGCAGCTTTGAGTGAAGCTATAGACATGTAAGTAACAATCTGTTAACGTCATCTTATTCGTTTCTCCTAGTCTGTTTTCTAAATCTTTTCTCCTTTGCTTGAATATGGTTGCCAGCTATAGCGAATGGATCGATGAGTGTGAGAGGGTTAACACTGTCGAAGATGATGTTGAGCAAGAAGAAGAATTAGAAGCTGAAGAAGAAGAAGAAGTAGTATATGAAGAAGAAGAAGAGGAAGAAGATGATGATGAAGATGGCCGTGTGTCTGTCAAGAGGAAGTTTAACTACCGAGACGATTAATCTTTATCCAAAACCATGCAAGCCCTTTTAGACATTGCCTTTGTATTGTAATATATATTCTATCTGAAGACATTGCAAGAACCAAATCTGGTTTTATCATAATTGATTTTAAATTTATGATGGTTTATAATTTGCATATATATAATTAAATATATTTTAAAATTATATTGTTAAGTACTTAATTTGACATATAATTTTAGGTATAAAAGTCGGACCAATATGATTGTTTACTTTAAAACATAGTTAATTGCAACAATTCAATGAAATTGAACTAGCTGTTTTCTCATTATGATAAATTGTGAATATTTTTTTAATTTCATTTAGTTTGGTTATTTATATTACATTTGAAATTTGATAAAATTCTATATAATTTGAGATATGCTGTCTAAAACTAAAATTAGAAGAATAGTAACTTAAGTTATTCTATATAACTAGAAGTTTTCCCTCGTCATGCAAAATAATAATAATTTTAAGTATAATATTTTTTATTTTTATTTTTACATTATTATTTTATATTTTAAATTTATCAATTTGGAATAAAAGACGATAAATATTTTTGTAATTTTTTTTTTCTTTTACTTAGTTTAACAATTTAATTTTGATTTTATTTAAATTTTAATAGAGTTAAAATTACATTTACTCTGTTTAATGATTATTTATTTTAAATACATATATTATGCCTTATTTTAAAATAAATCTTTATTTAAATATAGAAATTCAAATCAATGTTGAATTTTTTTTTTTTGTTTTAGTTAAAATACGTTAAACTGGTAATATGTTAATTGACGTAATGAAACCGATAAATTAAATCTTTAACTATCAAAAAAATTTTTATTTGATTAGTATTTCTTAGTTTTGTATTTGCTAATGTATACTTACAATTAATTTTCATAATATATATATATATATATATTATTTATACAAAATATTATATATAACTTGATATAAAAATATTTTGTAATTATTATTAATGTGATATATATAGGGAATTTGTACTACATATCAACGAAAGGAAACTTTATTAGCTAACTGGTAATAGCATTGTACATTTTTCGGTAATTCCCAAAGTGTCCCTATTCCCATACGAAAAGATATTGATAGGGACCTGTTATGAGCATATTTGATTGGGAAAGCTATCGGTTGCAGACAGTGGCAACACCAACAATGCAAAGACTCGGGACTTTTGAGTGTCTTTTTCACTTAAATGCAAAAACCTAAAAGGAGCAAAATTTCAACATATCGTCTCTTTCCAAAACAAATCTCACTTCCTCAATTTCTCGTTTCTTTCGAAAACAATCTAAGTTCTTCAAAATTCCGTCTCTCTCCAAACCGTTATGGTTGCTTCAAGACTAGTCTATTTTCCAGAAGACCTTGTAGATGAACCCGGAGTGGAGTTACCGGAGATGATGTTCGCCGAGGGAGAGGAACCAGTCGGCGTTAGGGTCCTCACTTACCAGTCTTCCCGAGCAATCAACACCATACTTAATGCTCTTAACGAAGATGAGATCTGGTATCTTAGAGAGTCATCTTATGGTAAACTCGTAGATATAGCTGATAAGCCTGCGTTCTCTGGTAGATTTGCTCGATATTTACTATCGCGACAACTTAAGGTTGAAAAAAACATGAAGCTTGGTTTTGGTTCGCCGGAAATCCGATTAGGTTTTCATTGCGTGAGTTCGCCATCGTGACGGGTCTCCCTCCGAAAAAACAATATTTAAAGAAGAAGAAGACAATAAACGAGAAACCTTGCTGGCCGGAACTGTTTGGAAGTATGGAAGACATGCGAGTATCTAGGGTGGTGAAGATGCTTCGGAAAAAACCGTTACAGATCCAGATATCCGGATGAAATTGGCTTGTCTTGCTATCGTTTCATCTGTCTTGCTGTCAACAAATTTAAAAATGAAAATGCTGAAGGAGCATGCTCAGCTACTTGGAGACATTGACGAATTTTTGTCTTTCCCATGGGGCCGTCTTGCATTTGATATGCTGATGACTAGTATCAAAAAGAGGGATGAGATATCCTTATCTAAAAATACCATCACTCTACAAGGTTTTGCTCTAGCTCTCCAGCTGGTATTTGTCGAAGCTGTACCAGCTTTGACAGAGGTTATTCAGGATGCGTGTTCTTCTTCAGAATCGGAAAGTGAAGATGATGAAACAGACCACCATGTTAGCAAGGCCAGGAAGAAGACACTGAATCCTGCCCACGCACGGGAAGTCGATAGAAAATCTGAGGTAATGTCATTTAATTGACTAAAACATTGATTATTGTTAGAAGCAGAACATGATTCAATACATTGTGAGAAATTCCTTTAAATATAATCTGAAATGGAATTTAATTTTATACGTAGGTTGTTATGAAGAGTATTATCCCCCAAGATCCTCAACAGCCAGTCAATGATTCCGTATTTGTTTGGAAACATGAGGTGTTTGATGTCAAAGTTGAAAACCTTGTCAAGCTTATTTCTCAAAAGTTTGTGTTTGGGAAGGATATGTTTAAAGGTGGAGCTACTAAGTCAGATGTTGAGAAGATGCGTGAAAACATGAAAGTTGTTGGTAGGAAGAAGCAAACCCAAGAGAAGGATACAATGAACTTCATCTCCGATGAAGACAAAATTGCCTCAGTTGTGAATGCACTTCTTAAGCCGGAGCTAAAACGGATTGATGTTATGTCTCTGCCAGTCTTGCATCAATGAAAGAGTTAACATCGTCGTCTATGCAGTACAAAGATGACATCCTATCTAGTGTGTCAGGAATGATACAGGAAATGAGATCTGAGATTCTTCAATCGCTTGCCGCTGGTAATGCTGATGTTGCTTCTCAGGATTACCATAAGAGTCTATCTACTGGCAATATCTCAAAGCTAGTTTCTTCTAAACAACGAAGTGGACGATCTGAGTTGGGTACTGCTCATGTAGCTTTGGATGGTCACGATATCAGTACAGCTGCGGTGGCTACTGCTCATGTTCCTTCTGAGGGTCAGCATATCAGTCCTTCTGCACTTAATTATGTCTCCAATGCAGGTTCCAAACAACCTAGGAGCCCTGGTCAGGATTCAAATGACAAATCAATCGAAGATGTGTTGCAAAACATCAGTCATTACTCAACTCCTCCCGGTCTCCTAGCCAAATCCCTGTAAGAATTGTCCAACTATTTTAATATATTGCTGAATCAATTCCTCTATCACATACATACAACTGGTTATTTATCAACCAAGGTTTTAAAACCGTTTTTTGGGTTCTTCTTTAAATCTAAGCTCTCTGCCGCTGTATCTCAAGAAGCACACTCTTCCCTACTACGTCAAGATATTAAAGTACGCACCGTTAGTATACACTGTGTAGTTAATAATATTACAACCTGGACAATCGTTAAATAATCTTACAATCTTAGTACAAATAAAAGGGACATCCGATTTACATGCTTTGCTTGAGACAGTATAGTTATTCTAACATCTATGTACTTTAGAAACAAGGATCGGACGCACTCTCACATCATGATAGGTCTTCTCTTCCTCCACGATCACCTTCTCTTCAAGGAACCAATCAAGTCACTTCAGGATCCCGTCACTCTTGTCCCGTAAGTATAGAGGATTTATCAGTTTCTCTATCACTTATCATCTTTATTTTAATTATATTTTTAAGTTCTAGTTTTGTTTTTTGAAAGGGCACGGTAGCAGTCTCCCATAATGTTCAAACTACGGTTCGTCCTGGTTCAACTCTGCTTGAAGTCAACAACCAAGCGACTTCAGCACTCGTCAGTTTGGTTTTGTAAGTATATAATAGTTATTAATTTATGAGTTACTGAAAATATACCTCATCTGTGTATACACACAATGTAGGCAAACATTATAGATGTCACTTCAAACCTCCCTCTCGCTTATCAGTCCCCTGCTGTTCAAGTTGGAGCTACTATACATGAAATGAGCAATGTTTCGGGACACAGCGATACTCACAACCGATGTAGATCAAACGTATTTTTATTGAAAACCTTTTACTGTTTAATTTTTGATTCAACCTCTAACATCTTGTTATTAAATTTCTGACACCACATCTTATAAATTGTGTTTCAGCAACCCTCATTCTATTTGGGTCTCACTCAGGATAAAGACACTCCACAACCTTGTGAAGACGATCAGATGGGAGACAATGAAATGCAATTTTCTTTAGAGAAGGATGATGGTACCCCCCTCTCTCGAAAAAGCAAGCGTATGAGGAAAGTTCCACCGTATTTACTAACCGGTTACCATTGTGGGAGTGGCATTCTAAATTGTGCCCGTGAGGGACAACTCTGTGGGGGAAACTGGTATGATATGTCCGTGATTCGGGATAAGTATGTTCGACTTTCCACAATAATTAAGAAACCCTGGTAACATTCTATTTTGTAAGTTCCTTTTTGATTATAGCATGGTTAATAATATGGTGCCGCAACAAATAGTTCTTCCTGAGTTCGGTGTTATAAACGTTGCTGGACTTTCGGTATCACAAAAAGACCTTGTTGATATTGCGGACAGACATCGTTTGGTACCTGGAAAGGCAAGTTACTCTTTTATATAGAATCTGATATATTATTTAATTTCTGAAACCATATCTATTTATTACAGGTAATTGATATTCTTATGAGGCTTCTACGATCTACCTACGATAATCAAGTTACCAATAAAGTGGACGTTACTGCAGCATTCCTGGACAGTCGGTTTGCATCATTGTTGTGTAGGAACCATCCAAAATTCAAACTCCAGAAAAAAAAACTGCTTTCTTATTCAGTAAGAGTCTAGTTGATGCTGTGATGAGTAGCAGACAGTCTCTCAACCATGCTACGCGTTTCTACATCCCATACTGCATCGGAAAACAAAACTGGATAGGCTTATGTTTTGATTTCAGCGTATCAAAACTTTATGTGTTTGATTCCAACGCAGGTATAAATACCGACTCTGCACTTAGTAAACATCTACTCCCTTTCGCAGAGATGTTTTCTGTTCTCCTGAAACAATGTGACGTCTCGGTTGCGGGTGTTGATACGCCTCTGATTCTAGAAAGGATACGAGGCCTGGCCAGAACACAAACCCTTTTGATTCTGCTATCACAACATATCTTCTCATGCAAATTCACTCCCTGTTTGGGATATCCGGTTGTCTTGTAATTACTCCTTCAGTTATCCCAGATGAAGCCCATAGAGCTGCTGTCATGATCTACGAGTTCCATGGTAAGTTGTAGGGTGAATGTTATTTATGTTGGTTTTAAACCTTATGTTCTATGTCATAACCTAATTTACTGTTATCATTTGTTGTGTTGAGGATTTACTTAAGTATTGACATTTTACTTTGCAGTGAAGAACTATTTTATGTTAATGTTTCTTAACTATTATTTATATGTGCTATACTAATTTATTATATTTAATTTAAAACCCGTTACTGTTTTCATATTCCAGATACTATAGAATTTGAATCCGTAATAAGATTTGGATATGAAGTTCCTGGAATCAGATTTATGCATCTTTTGTTTACAAAATATTTCACATTACTTAGTTATACCTTCAAATATAAGACAAGATTTATGATCTTCAAGCAACAGTTAATACTATGAAATGCTTAGATAAGCTAACCTCCAATATTTTACGAACACCCATATTAAAAGTACAAAACTTTATCTTACAGACATAGTTTATAATAACCGGTTATATATAACAAGGATCTGAAACATCACATTCCAAAAAGATCACGCTTCCTTATGTTGCCGTTCTAACATATAAAGATTAGTGCTAGTAGTTTCTTAGTCAACCACACTGTAATGACATTACTTTCCTCCCTGTTCACCAAAACGATTTCCATCACTCACACCATCTGCATTGCGCTGCGCAGTCTGAGTAGTCAAATCAGTTGCATCTTGCATCTCACCATTTATGACTTCCTCTCCATTTTCCCTTCTCGAACTTTCACCTATGGAATAATAATTACATGGTTAATGTCTGAAAGTTAAATCCGGATAAGAATTGCAATTACAGAGTTTTAAGAAAAATGTATCGGCTACTACATAAGCTGTAACGCATCAATGTTATCTTGCCGAAATGTAGATACCTTTCTCAGAGATGAGATTACCAAATTTTGATTCTGTTCCGAGTGTAGAGTTGGTAATAAGATCTCTTATTTCAACTCTGGTGTTCAGCTCAGTTGACGAGGCGGTGGAAGATACCTCGACTGGAACTTGGTATTGGGGGATTTGATGGTCATCCGAGTTTACTATGTTAAGATCCTTCGGTAGATAACCAGTAAACTCTGACCCATGAAACCAATAAATTCTTCCTATGTTTAGAGCGTAATTTGAAGCCATTAATCTTTCATAATATCTGTGTCTCATCTCTTAGTAAGGAGTTTCATCACGAGGAACGTATCCAAACATTCTGCCGTATGGTGATGGTGCATAAGTGTTTCTTAACACTGTAACAGGAGAAATTCCTGCTGCATGTATGATATAGTTTTGGAGGTTAAAGCACATTAAGCATTTGATTATATTCTGATAATGTAAAACTGAATCATTACTAACTTAAATATGCATATCTCACCGTTTTCTTCAACATTGATAAACCCGCCCACTCCATTAAATTGATTTCCATCCGGCGTCGGCTGGTTTACGATCGAAGGATTGTCCACTTAGGGACAATGTGATCATCGTGGTTAATCTGGACGTCAACATTCAGGTCTAGCGAGTTTCTAGCTTTCTCAACTTCCATGGAAAATCAATACATGAGCATCAGTTTTTCTGGGTCATTAAACTCACTAATGACTTCTTCACTGCATGTAATCTGTCCTTCAGTCATTATAGCTGCAACATAAATACCAACCATGAATTATGTTATTAGGTTTAATCATATAAATTTGTCGTATGAGAGTCTGTTATTTGATATTCTCACCATTTACCATTGCAAGATGCTGTTCTTCGGTGACACCTTCTCCAAGATAGGTCTGGCGACCAATAGTAAATGGAATCATGCATATGTAGTGGTACTTTGCAACTTCTCGAGCACCAAACACTATACATAATTTTGGGTCTGTGTTCCACTCGTGAACGCTGAGTAGCATGTCAATGTCCTCGTCTGTCCGAATGATGTGGGGGGGGGGGACTGTTTCAACATCCGTCTCAACCATCCATTGTGGGAGCTGGAACGTTACAACAAGTGGTACTTGACGTTCTAGATTGTAGATACTACGAACTTTCATTTCCAGAGATGGATATTCTTCATTTCTCCGCACAAGAAATGATTGAGGCATTACTGCAAGATCATCTTCGAATCGCCACACACCATGTTGGGATTTAGACCACACTCGTTTTGACATAAAAACTAGACGCGCCATCTGTTAAGAGAAAAAGTACGATTATTGAGAATAATGGAGACATCAACTAAATTCGGATGCCCTTATTTGCCAAAAAAATAACATTAAAAAGACTTACGCTTATCTCTGACTTTTTTCCGGTTGCTTTTAGTTCTTTCTGTAATCGATGTTTAGTGTTGTATTGCTTTTGAGGAAAGATGATGTACCTATTTATAGCAAAATACATCAGATAGAAACCGGTATGACTTTTGGTTCACAACTAAAACCAGAGAATCTCAAGATATCGATGCAATTAATGCATGCAGGCTACCTACTCCTATACCATCATCATTACACCTTCTGACATGAAAACACTGATTTAACATAATTTTCCACACTTTAATTATTCATTATCTAATAAAGCTGAATGTAAATCTTCTCCTCTAAGTAAAATATATGTAATAGTTGTTTCATATAACGTGGCTTTTTATCCACCTTATTCTTCCAGTGTTAAGATTTAATGTTTGTTATGATATAAACGTACTATTTACCCTATAACCGGTAACCGGTTACTCTTAAATTGGCCCACATCAAAAATGATACATAACTTTCATCTTTATCTGGTTATAAATTGTAAATTATTTCTTCCTCAAACATACGCTTCTTAAATTTTTCCGGTTATCATGTAGTCAATATAAACCGGAAGTTGTTATTTTCGGTTTACATTAAACCCGAGTCATATTTTTTAGTACCCGATAAGCTCAGCCTTATTTAAAACCTTTGTTTGATACTCTTTTCATATGTCCAATTTGGTATCTTATTATTACTAGAATCATTGCATATACTTAGTCGTAATTCAGGTTATTAACTTTTGTAATTTTGGAGAACTTGATTATTACAATTTATTTTACATTCCTTCATTGTCTGTATTTTTCACGTTTAGATCATTTATCTGTTTCGTTGATATATATTACTACTCGGAACTATCATCTACGAAGTATCCGGTTATTTTTGTATGCGTATTCGGTTATATACATCTGTGTGGGGGATTTATTGCTTGGTTTGGAAATGAATACATTTAGATGATATGTATGATGAAGCCTAACAGTTCTGAATGTAAATCTTATCCTCTAAGTTAAATATCTATAATAGTTGTTTCATATAACGTGGCTTTTTACCCACCTTATTTTTTACTATCGTATATGTAGTTAATGTTTATTACCGTTTAAGCCGACTATTTACCATAAAACCCGGTTACTGTTTAGTCCGACCTATCACAAAAGAATACATAACCTTCCTCTATTTCTGATTTTAAATTTTAAAGTAGATATTTCTAACACATAACTTTATTAAATATTTTCGGTTTTCAAGTGATTAATTTTAAGCGGTAGCTGTCATTTCTGTTTTACGTTAAACCGGACGAGTATTTTTAAGTACCCGATAAGCTCAGCGTTATTTAAAACCTTGGTTTAATACTCTCTTCCTTGGTCCAGTTTCGTCTCTTATTATTACTACATTCATTGTATATACTTAGTAGTAATTCAGGTTTTTCAGTTTTAAATTTGGGCAAAACTTGATAATTACAACTTCTTTTACATTGGTCCCATTGTTTGTATTTTTTACTTTTACATCATTTATCTGTTTCGTCGATATATATAAGTACTTGAAATTATCCTCTTGTAAATATCCGGTATATTTGTATTAATATCCGGTTATATACTGTTGTATGGGGGGATTTATTGCATGGTTTGGAAACGAAGACATATATATGATATTAATGTTGTATCCTACTATAACCGGTTTTCATACAAACATTACATGCACTTTCAAATTTGTCTTATTCTACAATTGCAGTATAACTATTTAAACTTTATTTTCTCGCTGTTACTAGATTAACCACATTTACAGTTAAAGTTAGTTGATTATATATTTTCAAGATATTATTTAGCCTTGGTTATTAACCATATTAGGTGTCACTCTGATTTACATAATTGTCTTATATATATATATATATATAGTTTTCCGATTGTGTTAATGGATAGAAATTTTGTTTATATTACAAAATCGGGCATATTAATTATTAATCCGGCCACATCCCATAACATGGATTCATTATACATCAAACATCCATTCATCCTCCTAACTTACATACACCTTCATCATCCGAGCCCATTTCTTTCCAAATTTATTCACGCCATTGCATGTTGCCCTCTTATGTCCAGGACGTTTGCATTGACCGCATAGTGTAGTCTTCCTAGGTCCCCTTGTCTGCATTGTCACGTTTAAATCATTAGGAAATTTTTGTATATATAAATGCACCAAGTAAATCTATGTACCTTAAATTCTCCTCTGGATAATATCCTGTTTTTCCTCGGTCTACCCGGAGGTCTCCTGCTAGCTGGCGGATATATTTCTTCTATCTCATTACTACTGTCGGTGGAAAGATTATCCATCTTCTCATCTTCCACTACTGGGTATATATTTTTCGCATACACTGGTTTGTATGTTTCCAAATTGTAACAGGCGTCTACCAATGCATCTACGCGGATCTTGTACCTCATTGCAGCGGCAATGGCGTGGCTGCAAGGAATCATTAGAAATTGGAATTCTTGGCATGTACACAACTTATCGTTCAAATTGACATGGAACCTTTCCCCGTGGTGTCTGTCATTTCATACTCACCATTTCTGATAATGGTCACCCCAAACATTCCTCTATTTTCAAAATTGGAAGTGATGATCTCTTCAACCCTAGGAGTGGAAAATTTACAGCCTTCATCTTCGATCTCACGTCTGGTGGCAAACCAGGTCATAAGCTTTGAACAAATCTATTCTATGAGAGAAAGTATGGGATATTCACGGGCCTCACGCAATACCGCGTTCCATGTCTACGCAACATTACTTGTCATAATGTTGTATCGATTTCCCTAGAAATTGGATCTGGCCTAGTGTTCGAATCCTATACCGTAATCAGCACATGATCCATTAACTTTCTTAATCTCGTCGAATGTAATGTAGAATTTCGAAAGTTTATATGCACGTTCTCACATTTCGCTTTAGATGTAGGATGCATGCGCAGTGCCTGCCTTGTGGAAAAACCTGTCATAATAAATACCTTTTTGTTACCGTATTTAATAAAGAAATAAATGTTTATCATGACCCGATAACGTTTTTAATTAAAATAACAGTATTTACCTTTCCGATTCCATAGTATATAGATGGATGTATGTCTGAAATGAAAACAACATCGTTGCTATTTGGTATAAAGTTTCTCAGTTTTTGGAAAAACCATTCCCAAGCTTTATCATTTTCTCCATCTACAACCGCAACAGCCAAAGGGAACACTTGATAATTTCCGTCTTGAGCAGACGCAGAAAGCAAAAACCCCGCGTATTTACCACGCAAGTGTGTTCCATCCACTATAACAACCTTTCTCATGTATTGGAAACCTTCAATGCTTGCGGATAAAGCCATGAACATATACTTGAAACGTTGACCAAACCCCTCTGCATATTCCGTATGAATATCTGTTATACTTCATGGATTTGAAGTAACCAGTTTGTTCAAGTACGATGGAAAAAGGTTGTAAGATGCTCCACAAGAACCCTTTGCGTAGTCCCAAGAAACTTCTCTGGACCTCCATGCTTTCCAATATGAAATATGAACGCCGTGATCCCCTTCCATGGACTGAACTATATCAATTGGGCGTGGACCCCCTCCATTTCCGGCAAACCTTGACTTCATCATTCCTCCGATTACCGTATGTGTTTCTTGTGATTGGTATCCACAACGGTCATCCACTGTACAAGAGTGATGGAGTTCAGCTGTTCTTACTTCAAACATTTCTGTATTTTTTAGAATGACTGCATATACCCTCCACGAACACAACATAGCAAAACATCTCAGGATCATTCCGTTTGGTGAGGATCGTGTATTTAGAAATCTGAATTTATTCCTAATTGCATACATCGCCATATGTTGTTTGAAGTCTTCCTTAGTATTGAAGATCATTCCAACATAAATTTCATCTGGATTATGTGAGTTATCCGGATTATGTGTTCTATAACCTGCATCTGCTGTTGCAATAGTTAGTTTTATAATATGTCCAAATTTAAGAACATTTCATGTTCATCTTTTTATATCTGGTTACTAGTAGCCCATTTATATTTTGAGATTCAATTCAGTTATATACTTAGTAACAAATAAATGACTTATTACAATTAAACTCTGCTCCCCGTCACACAACAGACTTTTTGTCTACTACTTATTTGATATGTACCATCGATTTCTTGAATTGTGAGATCAGCGTTGTTTGCATTTGCACGATTTTTTGCAATTAGCACACTCTCTCCTTCTTCATTCAACATATTATCCAATCCTATTCAAGTAGTTGTTTAGATGATAACATAAATTCAAAATAAATTGGTCATTATATGTTGTTCGACGGTTATTGTTAATCATATCCGGTTGCTTTATTAGACCATTTTACCTCCTCCACTGCATCCTTCTATGCTTCTTTGTTCGATGTCACCCACATTAATAAATGAACCATATGTCGAAACGGTTGGTGAATCTCCAACTTGAACAATGCCATGTAGGTTTAAATGCGAAATTTGATCATCTACAACATATCAGGGGAGTTTTTTAATACCATGCCTGCAAATCCAAGTGAATTGTGCAAATTCCAATTGTTGTTTGTTTTAATTCTACCAGGCTCTACATGTATATTCAGAGGATATTCAATATATTTTCCACTCCTTTTTGAGGAGTTGTTTGACAGCGTATCAGAAATTCATGGAACATAGTACAATTTCAATTCTTGTTTTTTTGGTAACCCATCTGGTTATATATGTTTTTAGAGGTTATTAGTACAAATAGTCTGTTATGTTAGTATACTATACTTTACCTTCTCGCTTGGATCCTTGATTACTTCCCTGATTGTTGTCACCAGGATTAATAAAAGAACCACGTGTGGAACCGGTTGATGATTCTCCAACTTCAACAACGCAATGTTGGTTTAACGGAGATATAATGTCATCTACA